TCCTAAGGATCCAGTTGAATGAGGTGTTCAATCTGGCACCTAAGGAATGAGACAACCTCACAATATGCCTGAACTGCCAAGGAATCTGGTCCTGAGATTTCATCYGAAATATTATTGTTTGACAATTCCCCTCCACTTCTATATTCCTTAATCTCTGCTGCAATATCAGTTTTAGACCTTGGCAATGTTCTATTGGAAAATTTTTGTTCATCATGTATATAAGCTATTCGGTTATGTGACCATGACTCCTAGAAATTACAACACCTGATCTTGCTCTGTGGGATATTGGGAKCTTCTTTCTCCCAATTTCAGCCCTAATAGGATTTTTTTCGATTGTTTACTTTTCATTTTATTGATTGATGATAAAAAATATGGCATGTGTACTTAGATTACCTTAAAGAGGTGCATTTGTGTCCGTTCTGGGTATTTGAGTGTTTGGTGCCCTAATGTGAGTGGTAATTACATGTAGGTCCTGAAAACACAATAAAATGGTTAACAAACCACTTGGAAGCAAGCAAAGACCAATTTTGGACGTCACCTGTGAATACTCTGTTTTTGTCTTCGGAATACATTGTTATTGTAGTAAAATAGAGTATTCTAGAGTCGTAATACTCTGTTTTGCGCTGCACAACACAAGTGTGATTTGGCATTTTGGCTTATTCCAAAATGACTCAAACCTTAATGAAACTTGGAATAACAACACCAATAAGCATCATACAACCAAGAAACATCAAAACAACAAGGAACAAACATACAACACTTTCATCTTGAAAGTTGTAGCCATAGTAATCCGGGGGTTTCATGACAGGGGGGTACTTAAAGATCATAACAGAACCATTTTACTTGGCTCTTCAGGCCCTATAGGACAGGGAGATTCCTTGAGTGCAAGTGATGGCCATGATTCAACATATGAAGTTAATGTGCATGCATGGGATGAAGGATGCGGAAGTGGAGGGAGATTGCTAGACAGTTATATATTGGATTTAGAAGCAGGAAGACATTCCTTGGAGGTTCAGGCCCTTGGTTAGACAGGTGCAATTTCTAGGCAACAGAGTGAACAGCTCATTCAATTGGGTGCCTAGAAGTGCAAATTCTATGGCTGATCCTTTGGCTAGGGCAGGGGCTCTTAAGGATCATTTGGTGCAAGGTTGCCTGGGGCTAGGCATTGATCTGTATGGGTATCTTATTGGGCTGTTTTTTTCTGTGTTCTGTTTGRATTTGTAGCTGTTCTTCTTTGGCCTGCTGCCCCTTTTATGGTGTAGTTGGTGATTTGTTTTGTTTGAAATTAAGTTATTTATCAAAAAAAAAGAAGAAATTGATTGGGACATTTGCAACGGAACTTGACTGAACCATATAATCTGGGAAACAAGTAACATGTTTGGAACTTGGGAAACATAAAGAGGAAAGGAAAGCATCATAATGTGGGAAGAAAATAAAAAATTGTCTGGCGAAAGATATTCTCTAGCTGCATTGTTGTACTGAAATTCTACTTCGCCTTAGATAAGTCAATTCTTTTACTTTGTCTTCTAAGTCAATTGAAAATTTGACATCTTGTTTTTTCATATTCCTTCTACATTCATGTTCAAGGGGAACAAAACTGATAGTAATTGTTAAGTGTTGATAGTAATCGTAGAAGTATCTGATTCATATAACATATTAACATTATCTTTCACATAAACTGCATAATAAAAAACTATACACTATCCTTGTCCCTCTGCAGTCCATTGCAGGTGATATTGGTATGATATCGACTTCGGTCAGGGMAGGACAGTGCTCACACCGTACCAACAGCCTCTTGCAACCTTGCATCGGTAATATCTCCCCATGAAATAAAGTACGTAAATACGGAGATATTCYCAATGCAAGGCTGTAAAGGCTGTTGGAATGGGCGCTGCCCTGACCGAAGCCGAACTCTATTGGTATTGGATCTCAAAAGACCTTTATGTATGATTATAATTGTTATTATGTTCTCATCAATTGTTTTGTTGTACAGGTCCAACATCATTTGCTCCAATAATTGATGCAGCAATTGATATTGTGGAGAGAAGTAATTGGCAATATCATGTCCTCGTCATTATTGCTGATGGACAGGTTTGTGAATTTCTGTATGCTGAGATGTTGGGATGATACYGGATTCTTTTGTTTCTTTTATTTTACTTTTSTTTATGATCTTTGGTTGTGATGGCCTAAGGGTCTTTTTTATAATTTATTCTTGCAGCCACACCATTAGGGGTGTAGAGAGACTGGGCCGAATGGGCCCTAGTCCATTAGTTTCTTTCTTATTAGTTCTTTCTTGTTATGTTTTCTTATTTGGCCTTTAGCTCTTGTTTATGTTTTCTAAGTATAGTGCTGATGTGGATGCCTACTTGAGGGCAATCTTATAAATTATGTAAGTTTATTAAAAGATTAGTGGGGGAAAGAGGAGATTATCGAATTCCTCATTTCTTTCTCTTTTCTTCTCCAATCTTCCTTCTTCTTCCTTACTTTCTTTTGCTTTAACATAAAATATTCTGCTAATTTTATTGGTTTGAATCACATCTTGGTATCAGAGCGGGTCTTCCTTCTGCTTTTCCCTTTCTTTTTTATTTTTTTTCCCATACACTTTTTTTTAATCGAAAGGTGTATGGAGAGACAAATTGCTGATTATTCAGAGATCTTGTTTGCCTAGTTGGTAGAGGGTTTGGAGAGTCAGAATC